TAGTGTACTCGGTGCAATTTGAGACTGTGACGTTACAGTAGTAAACTGGGATGTCCAAATCAAATATCAGCTGAGAAGTCGGCTATTTCTTATGTCTATATTTCTATTCTATTTCTATCTAAAAATATTTTTGTTCATATCATTACAGAAAAGCAGCATACAAATGACGTAATGATGACATTTTTATATGCGGGTTCTGATCATTTGCGTTTTTTTGTTGGAGCGTGACACGCCTGAAAAACATTTGTCGCCAAATAGTAAAAATTTCCGACCACTTAAACTCTGTGTATATGCGACTATTTATAAATTATAAGTAAAGCCATGGTTGTCTTTGTTAGGTTTCCTGTGTCAACATGAAGAGAAGATTAGTTCTTGCATTTTCCCAGCTGCTTTTTTTCTTTTATTTCGTGTCACATTTGTTCCTCATATGTTATATAATATGAACTTGTTTTGCATCTACTAGTAGGACATATTGTCAACAGTAATTTGTTTCAACGATCTAAATGCTTTGCATGTACTAGTAGGACATATTGTCCACAGTCATTTGTTTCAACAATTTAAAACACGAAATTTCTGAATAATTGCATATTTGCCATCTTTATCATACGTCGGTTTTCAGAATGATATTCCGCTGACGTTACTTCCTAACAGGAAAAAGACTTTGATATCAAAATACATCAAGTTTTGAAGAACTATCAATATAAACAATTTTATCTCATTTCAGAGAATTCCGGGTAAAAAAACTAAGGTATGGAGCATTCTGGATGAATCTACTCTTTCTTTCTTCAGAGAAAACAAGGTAATTTGTTTCTGTAATCTAGCTTGTGATTATTGATTAAACCTATAATTTGATATAATAGTGAAATTTGGTTTGTGAAAGAATATTATTCCATTGTTAGAGTCACAAACAGAGCTAGAATGCATGGAACTTACTGTGATATTTTATCCTTGATAGATAGATTCAGCTTTGCGAAAGTGCATTAAAAATTTTGTAAAACTGTTCTTGGAATTAAAAAAAAACTCGTGTAATAAAGCTGTAAAGTCTGAATTGGGACAGTTCCACTTGACTTTTTTTTTTATAAAAACTCAAGTTTTATTATATTTATGTAGAATTATCTGTCAGGAAATGAACCCTCTTGTTAACCAAGCTTTCAAAGTCTATAGTCTATGTCTGACGATGGAGTATATACACTTGGTATACTTTTGCAAAGCACATTTTTTGCAGAATTTAATATTAATGAAGAAGAATATGTTGATTTTGATAAACCTTTTAAACTAATAAAAGATTCACTTAAAAAACAATAAAACATTTTGTTAAAGAAAAGTATGATTAAACCACTTTTGAAAACTTTCACATATAGATTATACTTCAAAACTTTACCTTTATAGTAGACTTAAAAATGAAACGAAATTGGAAGACTACTTGCACAAGCTACCAAAATTTGATAGTCGTCAACTTTTAACAAAATTCCGTATAAGTGACCATAACTTGGAAATTGAAATAGGCCGATACAAGAAATTCTAAGAGAACAAAGATTGCATGTGTAAAGTTTGTAAAATTTATATGACAAGAAACACTTTTTCCTTCATTTTTTTCCAAATCAGTAAAAATATTATAAATCCCCCTTATAAATGCAATTAAAAGCCCTTATCCTAATTTTAACCAGCTTGACTCAAACTCTAAACTTAAAACTATTTCAGATCCCAATGAAGATATTTTGTCTAATGTTGTGGGATTTATAAAGCAGTCCACGGAGTTGCGAAAATGAGGTCCACATTGTTCAATTATCTATATACTATTAACTTGAATCGTTTAGAACTTTATTCATGTGTTTTATTTTTCTTATGTGTATGTAATGTTTGCATTGTGACCCGTCAGGGTTTTACTTTTTGCAATAAATTACTTTGAAAAGTGCTCCGCGGTTTTAACTATGGTGGTACATTACTCTGTCTTTATAACAGAGTTTAACTATGCAATACGAAGATTTCAATACATAAAAAAGAAGGCACCGAGAGTTCATCGTTCAGCGTCTTCATGTATGATCATGTATAAAGCAAAACAATATTGCAATTAATAACATAGTTTCCATAAATATAACTGGCAATTCTTTTTACAAACATATGAACGTACAAGCCACGTGATTGTAACTAATGATACCGACCATCTTTACCCACACCGAACTTCCTAGGGACGGTATTTTTATTCTTCTTGTAAAAATTCCAACAATTTTAAAAATTCATTTCCACGTTAAAAAAAGTGGCGGAAATATCAAAGGAAGAATCAAAACTCAAAAGTCGATTGATTGTTGGTGTTTTTAACGCCATTTTTAAGTGCCTCATTTGGACTATTTCGTGGCGGCCAGTTTTTATTGGTGGAGGAAGCCGGAGTGCCCGGAGAAAACCACCGACATTCGATAGGAAAACTGACAATCCTAGTCAATTAACATTGGAGTCGAGTGCACCCGCACGAGCGGGGTTCGAACTCACAACCTCAGTGTTGACTGGCTAGTGATTACAGTAGTAAAACTACTTAGACCACTTGGCCACCGAAGCCCCCCCTCAAAAGTCGAAGACAAACAAATAAAATCGTGGCAAAATAACGAAAAACGTCGAAAAGATAGACTGAATAATAAAATTTCATTTCTTTTTAGAGATCCTCCTGTATAGGTTCTATAGACCTTTCAGATATACAATTAGTCAGAATAACCAGTAACTGCCAGTTTGAAATTAAAACAGAAAAGAATTCACAAGTATATGTAAGTAACATGTGCATGTAGTTGTCTTCTTCGTTTTATTATGTTGTTTGGTTGTTTGTCTTCTTTGTTTTAATGTGTTGTTTGGTTGTTTGTCTTCTTCGTTTTATTGTGTTGTTTGGTTGTTTGTCTTCATTGTTTTATTGTGTTGTTTGGTTGTTTGTCTTCTTAGTTTTATTGTGTTGTTTGGTAAATTTAAAATTGAAATAACATAAGATTTGAAAACTGCTTTGTAACACAATGTGACATAAAACTGTGATAATCACCACGATTGCTCAACCGAATTGACGGTTTCTGGGGAAATTGTTTTAAAAGTTGCTGGTCTTGGTAAGCGCCGGTTAAAAAAATGACTCTTATAAACGGGATGGAGATGTTTTCAGATTTTAAAAAATTTCATTTCGTAAGGAAGAATCAGTCATGTTAATGACAACAGGAGCGTTTTTTATTGGTCTCTTCTGTACATCTCCAGAATATCTTATGGTGAAGAGTCCAAAAAAATGAATCTGGACCTCTTCTGGAGATATTTTAAAGAAAGAAGGTGCAATAAAAATAAGTATATTTGGTGTCGAATATTGTAGATCTTTTTTTATGAAAAAAATGGATGACATAACTGAATTTCACGATTATTTATTAGAAATTTAGTTACGTCAGCTCATTCGAAAGATATGCATGTAATATTGTGCTCTCTTGTGACATTGATATTAATATATATATTTATAAGTATAAAAACAAGGAACTAATTGATTGGAATAAATCGCTGTCTTCATGGCATTTTTTTCTGTATGCTTTCCTAACTTAATTTAGCTAAGCAAATCCTGATTAAAGCTCCGACCATTTGATTTTCAGAAATAATCTTAAACTGTACAAGAATTTGCCAATATTTGTCTGGTATATGATTGAAAAAGACATCTTGTATATCTATCAAAATATTTCAAAGTAACCAAACTGGATTATTTTTGTACATAAAAAAAGATAGAAATATATATGTACTAGTATACAAGGTATTCAAGGTCTTACGTTTCTCAGACTGTCTTTACTCTAAATCCGTTGGATGTGGACACTTAAGTCTGGGAGAACATGATTTATTTATGAGTTGTTTTCATTTACTGCATGCGAGTACTCTTATTTCTGTGCTTTGTGCTTTGTGTTTTGTGTTTTTATGTTAATTATTTTTGTGTCTCGTACCGATCTTTAGAGTCAAGCCAATTGCAACTGATTTTTACAGTTTGTTCTTATGTTGTGCTGTTACACCACTGTCCCAGGTTTAAGGGATGGGGGAGGGGGTTAAGCGCTCACAAACATGTTAAATGCCGCCACATTCTTTATGTACTTGTTCCAAGTCAGGAGCCTGTAGTTTAGTGTTTGTCGTTGGGGTTTATGTCTGTCATATACTAGTATTTGTTTTTCGTAAATTGTTTTATTATAAATTATGCCGTTAGGTTTCACGTTTGAATTGATTTTATTTTAACATTTTTCATGTCGGAGCAATTTCATGATAGCCGACTATACGTATACGGTATGAATTTTTCTCATTTTAAACCATACGGTTGCCTTTAATTGCTTACATCCACTTCATTTGAACTCTGGTGGATAGTTGTCTTTTTGGCAATCATACCACAAGTTCTTATTTTTTTATTATTTATCCGAGTTTTAAAATTGTGCCGTCCTGAACATGCATGAAAAATTTGCTACTGGGCGTTTAAAAATAATCAACAGCCAATCAATTTAAACTCGTGTAAAATAAGGGGACAATCATTTGATTTTTATAATATTTTTTTAAGGGGGATAGTGGTACAGGACTGAGGATTTTGAATATGAATATGCTGGCCTGGTAAGAACTGGGAAAATAAGCATGCATAGCGACAGATTGAAATGAATAAATAAAATCCAAAAAAATGAATAAATAAAATCCAAAAAAATCCTCCTGTCCCCTCCCCTCCCCAAAATATCAAATGGTCGTCCCGTTACTGTTATTGTCCGGCTAGTTCTATAATAAGAAAACAACAATTTTTTTTCCCATTTTCATGGGATATTTTCAGTTTTTTTCAGTTGGAATATCCGATGGCGGTGGAAAGTGTAAAAAATAGACAAGAAATTTGTGATTATATTTTCTGTCAAGCAGGCGTTATAACTCATGTCTTAGAAATATAACAGTATTACATGCAAATATTTATCTTCATCCAGCTTATCGTCCTTACAGGAATGTACTACAAAGGCTGCCATACCATAAAAACGTTTATCACACAGCTCACATTCACCTATGTCTGCATTTATAAACGTATTGATATCATTTAGACTAAACGACGCCATGTTTGTTATGTACCTCTGCCGTCTAAACCACCTATTTAAAAGGAAGAGGTAAAAGACAACCAATGCAAAAAAAAAACAGAAATGGACGTCTTCTGGCTCACTACCGAAGAAGAAAAAAAACACCCCAGGAGACACTGGGGATTTTAATGTTATTTTCTGGTTATGCAAACATGATAATATGCATAAATGAAATTTATGAGTTACATTTGTGTACCAGAATAAAACTAACAATCGATTTGAACTGTCATGTCATACATGTAAATCACATTTGTTCATTGTTTAGAAACTTGTCATGAGGAAGTTGATGTAATGTCAGGGTAGTTTTTTTTTAAACACATTCCATTAAGAACATTTGCAGTACTGATAAACAAAAAATCTAGTTTATATATTTAAACAATTTATGAATTGCATGCAACTTGTTTAAATATCATGATCGTTTACCTTTAACAATTTGAAGGCCTTTTCATGCATGTCATATAGTACCTTGTAACATCGCAGTAAGTATTGTCGTGAATAATTAATGTTCACTTATGCAGTGAGTGAAAAAATTCTCTACTTTATATTAAAGTATATGTAAAAAAATCAATGCCTGTGGAGTGAGACGATAAACTTGTTTATTTCTATACGATTGCGGTCGTATGATGGTATGACGTTGACGTCGTATGCGTCGTCGTCGTCCGAAGACATTTGGTTTCCAGACAATAAATTGTGTATAAGCGTATGGATCTCTATGAAATTGTACCACAAGAGTCTATACATCAAAAGGAAGGGTGGGATTGATTTTAGGGGCTATGGCCGTTTAGGAATTAGGGGCAAAAACAAGGATTTTCTTGTTTCCGGACAATAACTTGAGTATAAGTCTATGGATCTCTATGAAATTGTACCACAAGGTTCCTTACCAAAAAAGGGAGGTTGGGATTGATTTAGGGGTTATGGCCCTAACCGTTTAGGAAAAAGGGCTAAACTAATATTTTCTAATACTTTGTATAAATTGATCATTTTTGGCCCCGTTTTTAAATTGTTCCACATTGAGGTCAAAAGGGTCCAAAATTAAACTTTGTTTGATTTCTTAAAAAAATGAATTTTTGGGGTTTATTTGATATGCTGAATCTAACTTGGCCATGCATTTTGACTTCGGGTTTTGGGTCCCGTTATCAAATTGGTCGGTCGATTTCAACAAAAATTGAATATTTGGGGTTCTTTGATATGCCGAATCTAACCATGTATTGAGAGTTTGGATATTGGACCATAAAAGGTAAATGTCCAATTTCAACTTGAATTTTTAAGTTCTCAGACCACATTCATTCTGTGTTAGAAACCTATGCTGTGTCAAATATTTAATCACAATCCAAATTCAGAACTGTATCAAGCTCGAATGTTGTGTCCATACCTGCCCCAACTACATGTCCAGGGTTCGAACTCTGCGGTCGTATCAAGCTGTGCCCTGAGCATTTTATTTTATTTATTTATATTAAAGGAATATAGTGCAACAAGAAACTTTAATTTTACAAATTATATTTTGCGTGATTTTCTACTCTTCGCCGCGGGGTTGATAACACTCCCACTCCTCCAAAACACCTAAAACGACACAGAATTGGGATGTCCTGGTATAAAAGTAACACGTTATTTGACTTTATTTATAAATCTTTTTTCTGATTAGGGAATTTGGAAGATTGTCGATAGTTCATTAAGAACCATGTTGTAGGCAAAGCATAACAAACAAATAACTATGTAGGAAATAGCGCTAAGCGGCCACAAGACATGATTAATCGCAGAATGCTGTAATTGATTTAAATGACAAGTCAATGTGCCCGATTGGTGACAATAGATGCTCAAGTTCTTCAAAGTTTATCCGAGAACGAGGCCCATGATCTCCATTTTCTGTTTAGTCGGCCTCAAGTGAAAAATGAATAAAACAGCAGCAGACAATTGAAATTATTGGTAGGTTGTTAGGGGAGGTGAGAGGGTCTTTGAAACTTTCAACTAACCTACACGTATGGCAAGTTCGACGCAAGTGTAGAGTGTCACGTGGTATTAGCGACCGGGAATCCGAATGAATAGATCAAATCTCTTTCATTAAATTGGTTTATCTTATAAATGCGAAAATGAGATAAACCGTATTAAATTTATTGGCAATTTTATATAATTGGACCGATTTAGAGCTTCACATATTGTTGAACAAAGGCACTGAACAGTAGTATACCGCTGTTCAATAGTCATTAATCGATTAAGCGAGAACAAATCCGGGTCACAAACCAAAACCGAAGGAAATACATTAACTATAACAGGAAAACAACGGAACAACAGAAACACTGAACTGCAACAAAAACAAACGCCAACATACATAGAAACGGACTATTTGATAACAACTGCCATATTCCTGACTTGGTACAGGACATTTTAATAAAAAATGGTGGGTTGAACCTGGTTTCAATTTGTCTTTTGTTTTTATTTCGTTGTAGGTTTTCGTCTCAATAACCTATAATTTTATATTTGACATCAGTTTGCTCTAATTATCGATGTGACAATTGATGTTTGATATTACAAGGAAGTATATCATACGTTCATGATTTTAATAGAATTCATTTTACTATGAGTTAGTTTTACGGAAACCGACATTTTACACAGTATACGTGCCAAAAAAATCAATTGTATTCTATTTTTCTATTAAATGTAAGTAATATTATTCTTCGTTTTACCGACAAGGAAGAATTTACTACCATTGACTGAAAACCATGTATATACATTACATTTAATGAGAAAAAAAATCTTTGCATGAACGTCTTGCCTAGCTGTGAAGACGGACGTATTTAGTTTCAGAAAAAAATTGTAATTTTGTATAAATCATTTATTTTCGTTACTTGTCCCGTTTGAACGTAAATAAAGTGCTATTTAGGGATAAACACATGTAGATTAAATGTTGCTTTTTTTTCTTGACCAACAATCTTGGATTGATCATTGGAGTATTATATTTTACTTCCATGGTTTGATGATTTAAGTTAACTCTTTATCAAGTTAACGTCTTTCATAATCAAGGAAGCAGCATTGGAATACTTTTTTTAAAGAAGAACTTGTTGACGCGAGACGGGGGGATAATAAATGAATCAGTGAGCGATATAGAAGTGCATTATAAATGTAACTTGGTTTTTGTTTTGTTTTAAACTTTATATTACTAAGACTGCAGACCCTTCTGGCAAACTTGAATTGTTTATATATATATGTTCGATTGTTTCTATTTAGACCTTTTTTGGTTAACAGCCCCCAAAACTTTATATGTATTTGGTGTCCCAAACTTTCGCTGCCAAGCGTACAATTAAAACACGTTTTTGCTCGCTTAAATCGCTAAGAAAATAGTTTAATTCTTGTATGCTTAATATTCGTCAACTGTCACATATGACTGTTTTCTGAAGAATGAGATAAACACTATAAGGCTGAAAATATATATTTGAACAATGCCAATATTGTTTCAGACTGCAGAATCCAATGAGAAATGCAGTGAATGGGTGCAAAAATTGTCAGAATACTCAAAATGTACCACAACTAATAGTGAACCGACGAAGAAGTAAGTTTTGTGTGTCAGAAGAAATGTAGGTTAGACACAGGTGTAATAATTCACTTTAAAGCATTTACAATGAACAAGAAAAGAAAGGATGTACTGTCCAAACTCTGTTATATTAAGAATGTTCCGGATTTTTGTAAACAATATATATATATATATATATATAAAAGTCTAAATTGAAAACAACGTTCAAACCTATGATTGCGTTGGATAAAAACCGCAATTTTTATACGTGTGCATGTAAAACAAATTTCTTGGTAGAGGGGTCTAAATACAGCACAAACAACAATTTCCAAAAGACCAAAAAAAGTGAAAAAGTCTATTTTAACAAAACGCATTTGACTAACAGGTCGAACAACTGATGTTCTCAAACCCTGCTGACTGCCATTGGCGATTGCCAAATAAATTGATCACCAGATCTAACAAAATAGATCTTATTACTAAATTATTACCAAACAGAAAACAATAAACTTGCGGAAAAGATGGTATACCGCAAATATGAGGTGCAAAAATTTGTACACCATATCCGGATTTCGACAATTAATGTCTCTTCAGTGATGTTAGGAATCGAAACAGTATTTGGAAGGCCTATATATACCTGAGGCAAAGGCATTATTTCCGTAGGAAATTAAATGAGGATTGCAACATTTTAGTTCAATAATGTTTTGAAACGTTTATATCAAGAAATTTCAAAAATAAAAGTCGTTTTAAAATAGTTGCACTTGCACTTTTCGAACAACGGTCAGTTGCTAAAGAGGAATGTTTTTTGTCATGAAATGCTTATTGTCGAAGTCATGTGGATCATCCTGTACGTTTTGCTGATCAATGTAAAGTTTGTCGTTATAGTCATATTTCGCTAAACAAAACTTGGTGTCAAATTATGCCAAAATCTATAAAAAATGTTTAACACCTGTATATGGTGTTATTATAAGCAAAACCATCTTACTGGGACAAACATACCAGGAGAAATCTAGTGTCCGTATTTGCAAAATGCTAGACAAACTACATTTTTCAAATATTTAAAATAATTATATTAATAAAGAGCTGAACTTCCAGTTGAACAAGTTTCGAATAAAGTTCGAGTTAATCGTCGAATAAAAGTTCATGTTTTATTCATGTTTTGTTCCAGCACACCAAGAAAGAATTCCATATTTAGCCATAGGGAAGAAATAGGCGAGCATACAGTGGTGGTCAATGCAGCTAAAAATATTTTTGAAAATAATACAAACGGGACTGAAAATAGGAGAGTTGTCTCGGGCGTTCTGTCTAAACCTTCTCAAGAACCATCGAAACCAACCAGAAAGTCAGATCCAACTAAACTCCATCCATGGTCTACTATAACGGAAGCAAAAACGCACCTGCATCATGTTAGTATTGAACTAGATACTGAAAAGAAAACTGATTCTTTGTCAAAGAAACATGAGAATTTGAAAAATTCTCTAGAAATTAAAACGAAGATTACCACAGATTCAAAGCCGTATGAAAGTGTACAAAACAGTAGTGGTCATAATTTAACAGACACCAAGTTTGGCAGTTTGGAACCCGAGGCGAAAGGGACACCTTCGCCGAAATCTTTGATGGATAGCGTTGATGGTAAAATAACAACAGACATTACTGAAGAAAATAATGAAAATATTTTAGAAGAGAAAAGTACAAACGAAGATTCGACAAGTACTGTTTCAAAAATGCCAGAAATTGCGTCCGCAAGTGATAATCCGAGCGTTTTAAAAACTGAGAACTCCGAAAACAAACGGGATTCTGGTTACAGCACAACCGTTGGTGAGGGAGACCGAAATAGTCATGAAAACAAAGTCGACGAGACTGTTTCTTCTGAAACTAAACGAGAAACCGAACAAACCAAAAATGGCAATTCAACTGTCACTGTTGAAGAGACAAACAACAACCAAAATGATGTAAACACTTCTGATAAAACGAAGGAGCATCAAGATGGTGATGAAGAACCAATAGAGACTAGGGTTATCATGCGCAAGTCTAGGTCGGTTGTTAGTGTCAGTCATGATGACATTATTTCCGTTGTCGATATTGATAATCAAGAATGTAAAAGTCAAGGTAGAGGAAGAACTTGTAAAACAACACAAGAGCAAAATCCTAGCGAAAATATTGACATGAAATACAAACCGTCCATAGATACTGTCGAAAATTCTAAAACCAACACTAATACCAATACACTGCCGAACTTTCAGAACAAGAAGGAAGTAAGCGAGATGAACAGTGCAAGTGAAGACGCCGTGGATGGAGCAATTGGATGCACAGTTGAACCTGTTCCTTTGCGACATGAAATCGTCGAAAATTACATAGATATTGATAAAATAATTTGTCAGGGAAATTTTCCAAATGTTCCAGTTTTGCCCAATAATGCTCCAAATAGACATGACCTTGTGTCTTTTCACGAACTTAAAGATTTATTGGAAAGTCACGACGAATCCAGTGATGAACATTCGGATATCGATGATTCCATAACTAATGCCGAGGATCCTATTCAAAGACTCTTACGAATGGTTGAGGTCTGACGGGTTTATTTTAGACGGGAGACTTCAGTTGAATGCTCTTAGCATGGTGGTCTCATATTTGGGTGCTTTTTTTTTAAATGCAAGCAATATAAAGAACTGTTCATTTACATTTCAAGACATGAAAAAAAAACTGCAATTTTCTTTATTCTAACTTTTATTTGATATTTCAAGTTGTTCATTATATGTTGATAGCAATACCAGTATATAGTCTCTTAGTTTATATATGGACATGTCAATCTGAAAAAGAGACGTTCGAAAAAGCAAACTGAACGTTACTCTGTTTACGTATCTTTGTAATGTTTGATAGTAATGGATGTCTTTCTCTTACTATATATGTATATAATAAAAACATCAGCAAGATAGTTGTATGTTACGCTGTTAGTCAGGAAATTACTGCTCACTAGTACGCATGCAGTTTCAAAACTTGAACAATTATGAATGTGCAACAGTTTGCATTTACTAAAATTTTAACAATGCCAAGGCCAAGTATATCTGTCATTTCTTTATTTTGTAAAGCCTGGCAGTGTTTCTGCTTAGTGCTGCTTATAGTTCTCAAATTATCATTTATAAACTTGTCCGTCCATCTTAGTGAAATCAGTAAATTTCCGTAAACAAGAACATTTTGCAAGAGTTTACAGTTCCATAAGAGTAGTTATTCTATCTTATGCCTGTTCATGAATTCTAGGCATTTTTTTTTTATTGTTGTAAATAAAATTCATCCATTGAGGTATGACTCGTAACCGCTTCTGCAGAACAGACAACAAAATGAAACTGAATTGGTAAACGAACAAGCAAACAAATAATTCAAGTTTTACAATTTGTGTACAGCACCGTATTAACGGTTAAAAAGTAAGACAACAAAAATACCGAACCCCAAGGAAAATTCAAAATGGAAAGTCCCTTAACAATTAAAGATATTGTAGATTATGGATATACATGTAATTATATGATCAAGTTTTGAGATATTTTGATTTTCTGCTTATTGTACCATTTTAACAACCAATCATATAGTATACTTTTTTGTCATGGTTATATGAATGTACATATTCTCTGTATAACATATTCCAACCAATAATAAAATATAGTATATATAAACCAATAAATTATTAGACTATTTATCCGACTTGAGATCTTAGTTGAATCGAACCCATGTGATGCAGCAATTATAGATACCTAGACGCTAAAGAGGAATATACAATCTCCCTGCATTGTCTTTATTCACACGGTCAAATTCTAAGAGTTCTCAAATCCTACTGGAAATGGAATATCAAACCGTCTATATCATTAATAATTAAAGTTGTTTCACAATTTATACATTTCCATAAAAAATACAGTGGTGCAGCCCTACTTGTTACTGTTGAATGTACTTTGGTACACACTTGCAAATTGTTTTTGTCAAAGTTTGCACCGAAAGACAAATCTAATCAAAAAGAATTAATTTGTATCCAAAAGACAAAACATAGTTTTACTTTCAATATAATTTTGGAGTCGATTAAAGATATCTTTGGAATGCATACTTCAAATTCGCCAAAATCTCTCAGGATTGCTGTTTTGGAATATTTTTGGGCGATTATAATTTCATCACCTATTTAGAAATAAGCCATACTATTGTTAGAACCTTAATAAACATACATTGGGTTGTCATACTATGAATTTAAGTAAAGATTGAGAGACTTTTTGAAAATGGCCCTGGTGTGAAATAAATTCAGAGAAATTGGCCCGACTCCTTTAATTGCAAAGTTGAAACTTTTCGACGATCCGATCAAAAAGAAGTTGACCATGTAAAGATGAAAAGCAATAATAGAAGCTAGTTTTCTTTAGGTCAGTTAATTGAAAATATACACACCGTAAGAAGGGCCAAAGGAACACCTCGGTCCATAAAAGGAAAACTTACAATAGAGAACGAAAAATCGTCTTTTTGACGTAAAGGTTTGTTTTAGATTTTGATGCATCCAAATCTAGAAAAAGGACAATTATTACTGTTTTAAAATGTCAGATTTATTTAAAGGAAATCTTAGCAGCATAATAAGAGTTTTCTTGATTATACAAAGAAAAAACACCATCAAGGTAACGTTGAGTGTTATTAAATTGATCAATTAAATGGAATTAAGACGGATCTTTACTCAGTTTGACTGAGAATCGACCAATTTTGAAATTCCCTATCAATATTGCACAGTATTTACCATAATACACAATCTTGTCGTATGACTAAGTAATGCTATTGTAAATAGTGGTGCTTTGCGGAATTGTAATGTGGCTACTGTCACTATTCTTCCGAACTATTCGATTGTATCATCATAGGTCTTGCTGTAAATAGCCACCACACACATGGTTACTATTTCTTAAGAGAACGAAATAGAGAAAAAATACAATCTAATACGGTTTACAATAAAACATGAAAATGAATTCACATATGGCAAAGTATTATTCAAGACAAAGATTTACATTTACTGTTGTCCCGGACATACGTGGAAGATACAATTCTACATCCCGGAAAAAAGCTCAAAACAATTATTTTACCAACAATGTATAAATAACTTTTATCTAACAAAATTATGTTCGAAAAAACACAATAGAAAAATACTGCAATTACATTTAAATTGATAACATCTACAATAAAATGAATCGCATTTAATCATTTATTTACATAAGAAAATCAAAGCACTACATTTTTCCAAGGACATAAACTGTTGTGTGAAATCTATTATCACCAGCCTTTCAAGGTAGTTTTTAAAAAAATCAAGTGGATGGACAAGTTAAACGAGCAACAAGTTAAGATCTCTTAGTGGACATATATACTGTTAACCTATTTAACAGTTTATTTGTCCATTAAGAAATCTTAACTTAGTGCTCGTTTAACTGGTCCACTTGATTTGTTTATGACCAGGCTATTATTTAAATATATACGAAATATGCTCAATGTCAAAGTAATAGCAAAAGTGTATGTCCTTGTAAAAATTGTACTGCTACGTTTTACTTTTGTAAATAAATGATTAAATGCTATTTATTTTATTGAAGAAGCGATATTTTTTTAATGTAGTTGCAGTAATGTTTTTATTGTTACTATACGTTTCATGTTATATGAGGTAGCAGTTTTTTAGCCCACTGCTTAACATTAAAATGAACTTTTGAGACATTTTTCGAAATTCTTAATTGTCCTTCAGACATTTTTTGTATTTTATAAAAGTTAGTAGATGTTCTCACTTGTTCCGTTGTTTTATGGACTACCCTTTTTTGAATTTGCCTTGCAGTTCGGTATTTTTGTTATATTTTTTTATATGTGAAGAATAAAATCAAGTCATGTTGTATAGACCGATCCGACTTTTCGTTCAATTTGGTGACATCGACATAACATCTATTAAATTTGTTTATGAACACGTCCACAAAATACATTTCCAATATCCTTACTACATGTAAACTGTGTATATGGTGTTTAACGTGTTCAATTTCATAACATGTTTAAATTGAAGAAAGTGTTTAGGATTGTGTTTTATGATCATGTTTAGGTTAGAAATTAGTGTTTAAGTCCTAAAAACTTTAAATTCTAAAACACATTTAAAAGTGTTTATATTCAAGACATTTGTACATTTAATGTGAATACTTAAAAATGTGTTAAGGTAATATGATAATTCTAAACACACGTTTTCAGGCATGTCAAATAGGTGATCGATGGAAAATAAAACTTACTTGAAGTAATCATCGGGAAAAGAAAAACGATTTCTAGTTAACAGCTACAAAATTATATTCTTACTTCTTGGTCTTTTAAATCTTCATGCATAATTCGATAAAATTGCAATACTATTGCATCAAATATAGATTTTCCAGATCAAAGAGTGCGAACAAAGCCTGTAAGTATAGATATTTTTTGTCTCGCCTCTACGAAGTAATGGAGGCGTGCTGTTTCCGGTGGCGTCGGCGGCGATAACATTTTTTTTTTAGATTTGTGATAAGGTAAGTTCTTTAAAAGGGGACCCTAACGATAAGTCATTGTATATTGGTATGCATTAGTATTAGCATTGGAATATTAATTTTTAATGGAGATTATACGGTATCGCCCCCTGAGCGATGGTTCATTGACTGCGAAAATTTTGCATCGCCTACAGTAAAAGTGTGATTAGTTCAGTTTATAAGGTGAACCATTAACAATAGGTCACTGATGTTTGGTATGCAGTTGCAACAGCATTATATCTCAATTCCATGGAAATTATTTTGCCCTGCAACTTCGTTCATGTTTCATTGACTTTGAATGTTTTGCATAGTCTTCATGATACAGTATTGTCATTTTAATTTCAACAGTTGCATTTAACTATTCAAATTACATTTAGACATGACAGATGATACATATATCTGTGTCAACACTTTATCATTCTAGACTGACACTAGCCAGATATATTTTTTTCAGAGGAAGTTTGAAGGTGGTAAATACAGTGTAATATGGTTGGAAAACCCAAAATTTATCGACGCGCGGGGTATATTGAACATCGCGCCTACTGCTTTAAAAGCGTATAATTGGTTTATTGTGTACTTACTTCATCTACAAACATTGTCGATGTTTCTATTTTGTTTGGTTGTGTAGTGCCATATTATCGTATTTTTTTCATATGAAGGTGAAGAATGAATGTAAGTCCGTTTGACTTCTATATACATGTATTTGCAGAAAAAAATTCTTAAAAATCTATTTTTTCAAATCATTATTGTTTTTTCTTGATGTATGTTAATATATGATATTTACGAACTCTGACTATTAATTTCATAAATTTTGGTCTATAATTAAAAAAGTTACCTTTTAGGTCTTGATGTTAATTTTATTTTCTTAGGTAGTAAATACTTATAGTGGAGTAACAAATCAAGTAAGAGGTGCCAATACCTTAATCTTACTTTTCTGCCCGGTCGTACCCATTTCCTACGGTGCAGTTTTTCATAAAATGGAAAGAAAAAGACGTTGATTTTTTCATTCAAAATGCAACTCGACAAAATATTTACTTTTGTTTCTTTTTCATTGTCCTCAAACTCTTGATTTGACATTTTATGAAAGTTTAAGTGCTAATTCATACGGTAAAACTATAATTCCTTCTTTTTAGCCATATTTTTTTTTTCGTTTTTACTCAGTTTTAAGAATATACACTCTGTTTTATTTCCACTGAGTGGTTACAACATTTGTAAATTTACATTTAATTTACATCGATATCTTCCATGTTTGTTGTGTTAAAAAGAAATAAAACTTCATTTGGTAAAGTTATAAGACCACTTCGGCTCCAGTTTTTCTAATAAATTCACGTTTTAGACATCAAATTCGGTGAATTTCCGGATTTATTTATTTTACCGATAAAAAGTATATTTACTTTTTTTATTGACGATTTGCCTCAGGACTGCATCATACCATCGTTCGTGTTTGTGTCAATTAAATATGTTAGGATTGATATTTTTGTATCATAGGTTTATTGAACAATGTTTTAACAAGTTTTTGACTGATAAATTTTGATCCAAAAAATATTTTATCGTGTTTTTTTTCTAAAGTTAAAAATAGATTTTTTTCTGACAGTAAAAGTCAAATTGGAGCACATAAGAGTTATTCCCGGAATATTTCTACTTTTAGTAGTCCACTAATGCTATCTTCGCAAGCTAAAAGAAACCGTGTTTCAAAGAACTGGGATTTTTCAAATAGTCATCAGTTTAAAACAAGTGAAAACTTTTCTGTCTAACTGCAAAAGGAATCCTTTATAATGCTGTGAATGCAAGAAAAGAGGATATGTTTCACCAGAGACATATAATTATATGTCTCTGGTTTCACCGACTCCGTGAAGTCAGTATAGTTCGCCTGATGATGTTCATATATATAGGTATCATTGTCACAAATCTTGTAACAAATCATACACTAGTATGGTAAATTTAGAAAAGTTTACACAGCCTGACATTTTAGATGATCATACAGATACTTTCAATGCTGATGATCATCCATGTTGTTCCTAGTCTGTTCTGACAAGAACAATGTACTCGCCTTTTGACTGGACCGCTAGTATTTTCTGCAAGCACAGATCGTATAACCCGACACACACCTACGATATATCGAAACAGACGAAGGACTCCAAAAGTATAGAAATATCGGACAAAAAATG